GTATGCTGTTGCCGCGCGCGACACAACACGAGCACATTAGCATTCCGACTCTCGCGTTGGTTCTCATAGCGTGCCGCACGCGTGTAATCGCCTACGTAAAACGTACATGGTATTCAGACCTAAGCATCTACATCACTATTTAGACCTAAGTTTATAGGCAAAGCAATATCCGATTATTAATATCGCTATGACAAACGTCAAAATGTAAAGGAATACGTGACAAGCAAGTTACTGTCTTCTCTTGAATGTATATGACTTTGTCTAGGTGGCTGAAATTATGTAATTCTTCAAGACAACGTCGTAAGAAAAGTGATTAACTGCCACACTTTGAAATATTTAATTGTTAACAAAAAATCACCTTAGTGTAAATCACAAACTAAATCTACACTAACGGACTCGCTTAGCACTTTATCGGAAGAAACATTATTTACATTCTAAACATCAAAAATATAATCTTGTAATCCCTATTAGATTAGACAACATTGATTACTCCGTCTTTCCCCTTTCCATTTAAAAAAAATCGTATACATTAACAACGAAACGTTTTATCACTACTTTTATCATACGAGGCGTGACGAACAAACATACAGCAAGTGAATTCACGTCTCTAAACATTAATTAGCCACCATGGTAGCACTGAGCGTAGGAAATGCGATTAAATGAATAATTCATTATATATAGCCGCCGAAATAAGACGACTGTCCGTCCGTCTGTTTCTGAGAACCCAACGCGGCCAGTCTCAGGCTGCCAGTCCACCAGAGCGGAGCGAGGCAGCGGAGCCGAGAAACGGAGAAATATTAACCAATAGGATTGCACAAAATCTCCGCTCCTCTTAAGTGGACAGGGACTTGCGAGCTAGTTTAAAATTTCATATAAAACCGGTAAGCGGAGCGGGGAAACGGAGCGGGGAAACGTGCGGGGATGCGGAGCGGGGAAGCGAGTGCGGGCGCGGGCGCATAATAATGTATCAACTTTTTCGATGGCATGTCTGCTATCACTGACATTTCGCGTAGAACTAAACCAATCGCCCCACGCCGGGAGCTCGAAATCACTCGTCGCGTACTTGCTGCCTAGCTCCGCATATTGAAAAACACAGCAACTCCGCTCCGCATTACTTCCTCACTCCGCTCCGCAGCCTCGCTCCGCTCCGGTGGACAGTCACAGTACGCAACTCCACTCCGCATTAGTCCGTTTCTCGGCTCCGCTGCCTCGCTCCGCTCTGGTGGACTGGCAGCCTCAAGCGCCGGTTTAACGTATGCCTAATGTTAGGAATAAATGTTCGTATAATTATTATACTTGTATGTAATAAATGCATCCAACCACACACTTATACAATTGTAATAAAAAGCTAAATAAAAGGTGAATAAATGGTTATTAAGTGGCTTAATTTCTGACAATAATTGTGAAATATAGATTATGAAATTAACCACTTAAATATTTCTCATTTAAGAAAATAATATCATCATCATCAACCTGCCCTTATCTCTATCGAGGGTCGGCATAGTATATGCTACTCCTCCATACCTCTATCCACCGTCATATCCGAGTCTACCCCCTTCCAATGCATATCCTCTTTCACACAGTCATTCCATACTTTTTTTGGTCTTCCTCTACCTTTGCACCACTACAACTCTGCAACACACTTCTACGCAACCACGCTAATCTTTTACTCCTCAATTTCTCGATCACTGGCGCTATTTTTAAACTTCCCCTAATATACACATTTTTAACTTTATCCTTTCTTGTCACACCACACATCCATCTTAGCATACGCATTTCAGCTACATGCAATCAGCTATTAAAGATAATAATATCAAATACTAACTTATTCTCTAGTAATATTAAGTAATGTTATAAATTTGTGTCTTTTTCAGAAGTTGCAGTACATACAATTTCTTTATACTATAAGTAATTACTATGATATCTTAATAGTAATTTAAATGTGAATGTTTGGATGTATAAATGGTAACTAACTAAAGTTAAATTAACATTCATTTAAAAGACTTATATTTTAACGTAATAAGAGCGTTAATAAAATAAACAAAGAATTAAAATTATTAAATAAAATGGAACTAAGTGTCTAAAACATTTTTCAAACCTGCAAATTTATAAAACTTTTAAAACACGGTTTTCGAATTGGCCACTCGCGACCCCGGCTTGTCGCATTTTACTGCGCGCCGTAAAAAAACACGAAAAAAAGAATTTTTCTGAATTACATTTTTTGTTAAAAAGAATAAAGGCGTTATAAATAACACACGACGATTTTTGTATCAGACGGGGCACAGCGAAAATGCAACTAAAAAGGACTAACAAAAATGTACCTACAAAACTTTTAACTTCAATTTATTTCCTATTTTTTTTATATGAAAAATGTTTGTCGCAATTTTGATATTAAAATTTTAACGAATATATTCCCTTAAAAATACATTTTTATGCAAGTATTTAAGATATTCACAAGGTCCTTAAACATGTGTACATAACTCTTATAATAGGGTAAAACATATTACTATCTTTGTTTTTTCAAGGAGAATGAAAGAGATGGCAATACACTTTTGTACAGGTGTCACATCAGTGAAAACCTACGGTAAATTGATGTAATTATTAGTATATTTCGGTTCGACAGTACATAGTTATACAGTAAAAATTATACGAATCTCATACCAAATGTTATAACATTTTTATTACGTAGAAAACATGTTATAAGGACGTACCACCTTTTTATCGAGCAGGTGCAATGTGGCATCAAAAAGCTTATATTCTTATTTATCGAGGGAACGTAAAAATAAACGAGCAAATGCCATCACAATTATTGACAATGTCCTTCTTTGGACGTCATTTGTAACCGACGGATCATAATTCTACAGTTTGTTCTCTAATTACCAACTTCAATATGTTTTTATTCGTACAAATAACAAAAGACAACGGTTTCACCCTAATAGGTATGATATAAAATATTTTTTTATTTACAAACGCAAACTATTCTTTATAATACTATGTAAAAAGATACTAAGGAGATACTTTTGTGGGTTCAATATTTTAGGGTTACCACAACATTTAACATACCAATTAGAGGCAATAAGAAACTCCTTAGATAATTTTGAGAATTCAAGCGATCTCTGTTTATATTGCCTATATCATAATAAGGATTTTTTATGTATCTGAAAGGATTTCTTTGCATTTTATATTTAAGAACACGTTATTAGAAAGTGTTTACACCGTGACAGCTTTTAGGCCGAGTAAAAGACCACATAACTCCGTGCAACTGTCAAGTATTTAGAGATTTATAAAACAAAATAATAATCTAGCTTACACTCTATCCAAAAATCCTATCTTACTAATATTATAAATGCGAATGTCTCGCTGATATTTAGCATAGACGTAGAATATCGTCTGGAAGATCACATAGGCTACTAAATGTTTTTTTAACTCCGCGCGGACGGAGTCGCGGGCGACTGCTAGTTGAATAATAAAGTTAGTATCCGATTCAATAGTTTTCCATTTTGATCGTTAGTTATAATACAATCAAAATTCTTCTGTATAATACTAATGTGGATGAGTGCTTTCAAGAAATAATTACATAACTATGTATAAAATTAAGGTTAAGGCTTATTTTATTGTTTTACTTTTAAAATTTCACACAAAACCGTAAACTTTTTATGTTCAAATTTTTGCGTAAATTTATTTAATTTATTATCTGTAAAACCCTTATAAATTATTTAATAGAAAGTATGTTTATACATTTATTGCAATGTAATTAAGTTGCCATTTAAAAATTTGGATCATAAATTAAATAAAAGACGTTTACGACTGTAACATATTAAATTATCCTTCGTTCAGGTTCGCTTTTATTGAATAACAATTCTTATTAGGGCGTTAACAAAATGGCGACATAGAGCAGATTTCAAATTAAGATTTTCCTTTCCAAAAAATCTTTTGCGAAATTAAAAAAATATCATTATAATATAAATTGTAGTTTAACTATTCCAAATTAAGTCTATCAATTTATAGTTTTTTTGGCGCCAAAATTTAAAAATAAAAACCGGGCAAATACTAGCATTTTTATAACAATTGAAAACCTTTAAATCGCCTCCTTATGGTATTAATAAAAATTAATCTATTAAATACTTTGGTTAAGTATATTTATAATTTTAAACCACGACATTTAATAATAAAAACTATCCGAAATGTTTTGTATTAACGTTTTAACCAAACGATATATGGCATGTGACTACTTTTGGCGGGAACGTTGCTAACACAGATTATTTGGAGCATTTAAAAAAGCTAAAATAACGGACATTTACAATTTCCATTTGTAGTTATTGTAGACGGTTTTAATATTAAATTACGTCTGTTATATTTTTATTACATTTATGAAATGAAACAAAATTTCCAAATTTATAAAGTAAATTGATAGCGTCATTTGAAGTATAACCAATTATTTAGAAATGGCTGGATTAGGCTTGTTGTATTCTACCGTATTTACAATACACGTGTTAATAAATAAATGAATTCGACTAACAAATTGGTCGTTCGACTAATAAATTGTGTGAGAAAACTAAAATGAATAAAGTAGGTACTTTTGTATATATTTGGATGAAAATTTTTTTGACATAAGAGACACTGTTTCGATATGTTGGTTCTTGAAAAAGTTTTAACCATCTTTGAGGGTTCAGGATGTTTGTTTTTTTAATATTTTTTTATATTGATCGTAAATAGATGCAAAGTTCACCGTTCACGCGGCATGATCATTTCACCGGGAACGATAACGTATTTAATTACATTATAAATTGCCCGACACACTTCTCGAGACTGATAACAAACGCCGACGGCGCCGAATGCACATAAAACGTAGTGAAATGACGGATGTAGACATGCCATGATTCAAACTAGTGTATGATTGTAAAACGGCGCCCTTTTCTCTAACCAATGTTATGGTAACAGACCACGGGCCAGTGACCCTTCAAACGCTGATGAGCCATAATTAATCGGCCGGCACATACCTAAACACGACGGGCATGGCGCTGTCCACGCGCCGCGAACTCCAAAAACACGTTCAAAAACGCACTTTGTTTAACACAACACGCACGTTACATTCTCGTTATCACACACTGTCGTCGCTTGTTGCACTCGCGATGCACGTTATGTGGTACACTCATTATTTTGTTTATCGCCGGCAGTCGTCGTTCAGGATCGGGCGGCGGGCATGAAGCGAACCACAGCCGTCCGAGCGCCGCGAGTCTACTGCAAACAACAATGGTGCGACGCGCGCGAGAACGAGCCGACACTCACACTGGCACAGAGGCTCACGCACACAGGCGCGCCGCCGTGCACCGACATGCGCATATAAAAAACCAACGATCGGTATGCAGACGTTCGGTTTGAGCAGGTCCTCGGCTTGACGCTGTTTTCGTCTGCGGTTCAGGGTGCCCAGTATACGTTAAATCTTTCCCTAAATGATATTTTTTTTTTTTAATTTTGTTAAAGTTTTAAGTAAAAATTTAATTAGAGTAATTAATTTTGTTTGAAATTGTATTACTATTAGACATTGACGACTTAAAATTATCATCGTTTTAACCGGATTTTCAATAATTGAACTTCCAATAATTTTTAATTTAATAACGTTTCACGCAAATGCGTTGATATTCATACTTTAGGTTTTAATTTAATTCCACGATAAACAAACTTTGGAAGTTTCGTTTGGTAATTTTACCATACTATAATAGCTAAAGAATTAAAGTTATATTTTCGTAAAAGTTACGCGAGAAAATAAATAAAATTCCCAATTAAACACATTGCTGTTTTATTTTAAAATTGTATGGCGGAGGAGTTTCCTTTGCATGTAATTTATTAAGACAAATCGTTTTTGTAATTATTTTGGCAAGCAAAATTTCCCTAATTGTAGGTAAAATTTTTACATATAGCAACATTAAAAACAAAAGAACGGCAGTCAGCGAACCTTGAGTGGGCAGGCGATACGATTCGAGCCTGCGCCCGAGTCCGCGCGCCATGTTGCCAGCGCCGGGAAGGAGACGCCGCGCTACAATCATCTCGCCGTCCCGTTCTCTCGCTTGTTAGCGTTATTGCGTGCCGTAACTATACTCGTCAGCGACTGTACCACACACCCACACGCACATATTGTTATCTTACACAAAATTTATAACGAGCAGGTCGGATTTGGTCTCGGCCGCGGACACTCCTAAATTCTTTGCGGAAGGATTTCTTTTTTTCGATTCTTACGCCTTTTGGTCGAGCTTCGGGCAATATTAAATTATACTGGTGGCTAATACATAGTTTGTTTAGCTTTCGGTTCGTTATTTTGGCGGCACTGTATCATTTGCTCGGAGACGGATCTTCGGTCGCCGCTAATTACACTCAATTTCTATTGGTTTAGGAATCATAATTCCATATTCGAATTAATATTTAAATATTGTTGTGTTGAGAAATCAAATTAGTACGATGGATATAATCTCTTTTGTGTTAAATAAATATGTGTTTTTAAAAAGTAAACTATAGAAACTAAAAAAATAAATCCTTTGATTCCAAAAAAAAAATCGATAATCTCAAACTTTTGAATGTGGACAGCTTACGATATTTGTCGTAGATTCCAATCCCAATAGGCTAGTAACAATTATTATTACTCTTATTAGTTAAGATTAGTTTGACCCTATGACTAATTAGGTTTAGGCATCACAGAACGACTTATTTGTCCGGTGTTTATAAAACAGATGAACGATGCTATGCCATACGTGATAAAATGTAAGACCGATAAGATTGTAGTACCAACTGTAGGGTTCAAATAACAACTAAGGTAACCCTAACAAAATGTATTGTTCCATATTCAAATTTCAAATGTTGCTCTCAGCTAAAAGCCTTTATTAATTACCAGCTGTCTGCGCGATATTAAAAAAAGTTAATAAGTAGCCTATGTGTTCTTCCAGACTATACTCTACATCTGTGCTCAATTTTATCAAATTCCGTTCAACCGTTCTGGAGAAACTTTGAAACAAACACCAATCCATTCATCCATCCAAACATTCGCCTTTATAGTATTACTATGGCTAAGAAAAACTTTTTAATGTTAGACAAGGAAGAACAGTATGTAATTTATAACTTACTTGGCTTACTGGCGCAGCGATCCAAAGTGGGCCTTGGACTCCGAAACAAAGATCGCCAAAGTCGTCTGTCTTGTGACTTCTCCTGCCAGTCCATTTCTTGCAGCTCCCGCAGGTCCAGCTTGACGTAAATTAACAATAACTTATTGCCCCTTTGCTTTCTAGCTCCTGAATGAAAAGCTGAAGGGAAGACTATCTTTCCGTCTTACAGAGTCCAAATGATGTACCCGCCTAAATGTAGTCAATAAATTTGTGGTATCCACAGCATCGACGAATAGTGTGACAGATAAAATCAATACAACAATTGCCTAAAATAAATAAAATATTATAATTTGTACTTGATATATTTAAGTGGATTATCTACATTTTTATCTATTATTTTAGTTACATTTAAAGAAAATAAAACCTCCTAAAAAAACCATTTTTACACTTAAAAGTAAGTCGCAATTGTAAAATTCATTATAGTCAAAAAATAGCGGAAATTGTTCGTTCATTTTACTGCCTAGATATTTTTTGCGTAGGATGGTTAACGTGAATTGATTTATAAAACAGATAAGAGACAATTTGTCAGTTGCAAAATAAAGATAGAAGTACTAAATATTATATTCAAATGATATAATCTCTATGTGAAATGTCTTATATTTTTAAATCTAACATCCTCTATACTGACTAATGTCTGTCAGGTTATAAACTGACGAAGTCGGTTTTGTTGACATTACAGCCGTCAATAATAAAGCACCATATTTCATTTTAATAGTGAAATTATTTCAATAAAAAAACAATTGAAAATTATGAACCTTTATTTATCAGTAGCTTTTTCTTCTACAAACAAGAAACACTAGTCAATTGCATTACTTTATAAAATAAAGTACATATTTTTTGTGTTAATTACGTTTAATTTTTACGTTAAAAAATCATTGACATTATTTGCTCAATGATTACGACGTATAATCATTTATAAATATTTGTTTGCGGTCGTTGAAAAATGTATTTCATAATTAGTACATCATTTGGTAAGCGTATTTATTACGTAATAAGCGGAATTCTGTTTCAATTCGATTTATTTGTTGGTAAAATAAACTATCAAAAATGGCCATTGGAAATGGAAAATTACTTCGGATTTTTTATAAAACATTAAAATAAGTATAGTAATGTTTTTGCCAAAATAAATAATAAAATAAAATCATTGCCTATTTATGAAAAATAATATATTAAAATGTATTAAAACGTGTTAATTTAATATGCTTACTACCAAAATGAATAAATTGCATAATGTTTTAATATAACGATAATAAAAATTACGACATTGTAACACGATTCGCAGAAAGCATGACTCTTGACACCGTATTTAATTGCTGCTTATATAAACGAACCTAATTGTATGAGAAAGTACATAGGTAACCAAACAACTTTTTTTTAATAAACATTGAATTGATATTCACAAAATTTCCATATTTCTTGTAGACAGGAAATATAAAATATAATTTCAATTATGGTATTTGAGATATATAAAATTATAATGTTATTAAATAATATCAAAAAATAAACATTTCCTTTCAATTCCTCAATGTTACAATTTTTGACAGCAGCAAATAAAAATCAACATGGCGGTTAATGAATAGCGAATTAATACTTCCTAATTGTTCTTAATTCATTTAGGTATATAATTTTATAATGTCATTTCCATATGAAACAATTGACAGATATATAATTTTACAGCTAGTTAATAATTTACAATATTTATAAAAAGAAAAATGATTTGATTATTTAAAAAGTTTTCTTTTTGACTCTACTTACAGTGGTACCAACAACCGACATTTTTTGCAATGCGTTCCTTGGTGAAATGTACTTAATATACCTGTATTATGTAAAATGTGTGTTTTATATGTTAAAGTGCATTCAATTTTGTTTTAAATTAATAACTGTTATATGTTCGCTGGTTTGTTTATGACTATGTGATTTCAAAGTGAAGTTATTAGACAAGAAATATATAATTTCATGGTGTCCAAACTTTAACGACATATTACAAGATATTGCTGCACGGCGGTGAGTACCTTTTACTATGTTTTATCGTGGATTCGCGTAGAAAAGTAAATGACGTCACTTAGTGTAATATTGTGTTATAAAAACATGTCATATTAACGTAAGCCTTCAAAATAAATGAATTGTAAAAGAAAATAGACATACAATGATAGTAATCAAATTATAACCTTGTAGTCCGCGAGTCCGTCCGCGAGGAATTAAAAAAATTAGTAACCTATGTGTTCTACCAGACTATGTTCTACATGTATGCCAAATTTCAGCGAAATTAATACAGCCGTTTGCGAGATACCTTCAAAAAAACATCTATCTAAACATTCGCATTTATAATGTTAATAAGAAGTAAGTTAACCTATGATTTTTGTTATGAATTCTTAATTAATTGCTTATTACATGAAATACTTAATCTGTGGAAAAGATATTACGAAAAAAAACATAATTGCAATCTCATTTTGTATCAAAGTTCTTACAATAGGTATATTTGTCTTAGCAACAAACTGTACGTTGAAAAACGATACTATCGACGTTGTTCTGTAACCTAACACTGTTTGTCAGCGATTTGTTATAATCAGGTTGCTTGACACCTCATGTTATAATAGGTTATGTTATGAAAAGTAATTTTAATTGAACTTTGAATTAGGATGCTAAGAAGCTTATTTTTATATATGTTATCTACCTACAAAGATAGGTATTACAAGCTCGCAATAACTACATATAGTTCTAATCTGATGAAATTGGAAGAAGTGGGGAACATTATTTGCTAAATAGTAACTCGTAATTTAGACATTAAGCACTATTTAAATAAGACGATGTAATATACGAAATCCAAATAAAAGAACATAATTTTAGATCAAGAACGATTATTATACTTTTTTTATTACCGCAAATTTACTGTCATTTACTACTATCATTTTCTTTGGAACTCGATAATCTTGGTGAAAACGATTGCTTTTTCTGTATTAAATAAATAAGTCAATGCTTTTGTTACAACTAGCGCCATCTAGTTTCTATTTTCAAAGACGTGTTATAGATGTCGCTATGTTAACCAAACTAGTTGTATTCTGCCATCTAGCGGAGTATAAAAACATCAATAAATTATTTGCTTGTGTTTTACTTATCAATAATAGAGGTCTCAGATCAACACTACGTTAAGAGTTTTGGAACATTAAGGTTAACGCGCATTGGCCAAGAGTTGATGAAAGAAAAATCTAGATTTAGAAAAATCAAATAGTATTTTATTTTTTTGTTTTACGTTTATCAAGCATACAATAAATACTAGGGATAAACCTAAAAACTAAACCTAAATTCACAGCAATTGATTGACAATTTTTTTTATTAATACATAATTTTAATAATTGCCTTATAAATAAATTTAAGTAAGTTTAATATTGTAATATTCATATATTTATAATAAAAAGGCATAATATAAAGCAAGGTTTGTGTTAATTAGATGTGAAAATTATACTAAATACATCCTATATCCTCTTTTCTATTATTAATTATATTAAACAGCAATTAATAAAATGTTAGCTACATATAAAAGATTACTTGTCCTATTATTAACATTTATTACCTCCGTTTAAGAATACTTATACAAAAATAATTATTAACCTAATGTTAAAATTAATTAAATTTTTTATTTTATTTTTACTATTTCGGTAGCTTTTAATAATTTTATTATTTTAACTAAAATTAAGGAAAGCTAGTCATAATAGTGATGTCTTATGTTAGTCGTTAATACGAATCGAATAGATAAAACTCACATCTGTGGGCCTAGCAAGATATTGGTGATAACGTTCTCGTAACGTAATCTAAAAAAATGTATAAAATTTGTGCAGCGCCCCTACCGGAGATGAAGTTTACTAACAAATTTTATACTGACATATTTTGTCAATGAACGTGTCGCAAATATTTGGTGGATCTTTTTTCAGTCAGGTCCTTGTGTTTCACCTGTAGATTCGGTAAATTATTGATTTGCGGACTTACCACTAAGTTACTTTTTACTTATGACGAAAATTAATTAATATTCAAGGAGAACCGGCGCTGTATTAATGACTACGCTGTATATAACTCGTCTTTAACATCCAATGACTTTCGACCTTTTAAACAACGGTCTTGGAAGATTCCCCTACTTTATTACTAACTAAAGACGTGTAAACATCGTAGCAAACTACACATATCTGCGAAGAAATACAAATATGTGTGAAGTCAACCCGCAATGAGCTAGTGTGGTTGAATATGGCCTAGTCACCTACCTCGGGTTTGCTCAGAGCCTCTGGTTTGGATCATATTTGAATATGCTCTGAGTGTTAAGAAATTACTTATACAGTCGAACCAGGATAAGCGTGAGTCCAAGGCACCGATTACAAATATTACCGTGGGTTTCTGAGACTAAAATTACTGTATAAAACATATTATCTCTGATTTGTTAGGGATTACTATATGTTTTAAAAAGATAATTTGGTCTCAGAACCAAACGTTTAGTAATTTGCGGAGATTATCTTCCTTACCTTTTACTACTAGAAATATCTACTTAACTATATTTATGTTGTACCCAATTACAGTTACTACATTTTTTATTTTAAATATGAATATAATATGGGTAATGATGAAGTCAAGTGGCATTTTACATTTGTATAAAAGTCTACAAGGCAACTGACGCGGCACGCAAAGCTCCCTCTGTGTACGATCGAGTTTGAAAGTCGAGACTGGAGTTATAAACTGTTGGCTCATTGTTACTACTTTGATGCGAACTTAAGTCTTGTCACAACACAGGGGAGCACTATTGATAATACAATTAGAAATATATAATTTATTTGCTTCACATATATCATCATAGAAATAAATATTATATTAATATAGTTATGTAACAAACTTATTAGTAACTATTTCATATTAATCACTTTTGTTAGACAAAAAAATGTGTTTTTTTTATAATATCTCATCACAAAAAATGTTTATAGGTCGCTTTTAATTGCAAATAGTGTGTTCCGACCAAATTAATTAAATTGTGCGTGAAAAAAATGTTTTGTACCCCTGACATCGAGGAGGTGAGAGATAGAGGTGGTCGTCGGGTCTCAGTCGACCGTCAGCCGCGCGAACCTCCGAACGACTTTCACTACCACACGTAAAGGAACCTTCACAACGATATGCTGCGATAAAAAAACCTCACAAGTGCCAGTGTTGTGAATTAAATAAAAAAAAAACTTTTTTTTTATCTGAACACGATTATGAAAGTGTCTTATTATGCTGCAGCCTAGATTAATATTTCCTGGAAGTGTTAGTGACAAAATGGAAGTCAAGAACTTTTTTATGGTGAAGACGAGCTTTTGGACAATTTTATGCGCGATCTTTCTAAGCACCACTCTAGTGACATGTCAAGGTAAGTCGCTTTGTTAAGTTACGATCACAAAATTGAAAAGGTCTTATTGAGTCATTGAAAGATTACTTTAAGCAAATTATTGTTCGTAAATATTCAAACAAATTTTTTCAAGTTTTAAATTGAAATACTATTAACGTGTCGTTTATTTGATGAATTACTATGCTGATAGTGTAAAAAAAAAATTAGTACTTGATTTTTTTATATTTCTTGCAAATGGACGCCGTCTTTTGCCCTTATAAGTAAAGCTTAAAAGCTTTTTTATTTATCGTTATAAAAGACATCAACGCGTAACTCGATTGCTTTACTGGTTTTAAACATTTGTAAATTTTATTCTAGATCTTTCTTTGTGTATTACAATTATAAGAAAATCAGTTATTTACAAATTAATTGGATTGTATAATTTGCAAAAAACAAAAATTGCCTGTAAAAATTACGGATGTATGAAAGGAAAATGTAACATTTTTACGATAAAATCAAAATGAAACTTTTGCAAATATTTCTTCATCGCTCTGCATCTTATGTGATGAAACTCGAACGTGTTAAAGCCTATTACACACTTTCAGTTTATACTGAACAGTTTTTACTTTACAGCTAAAACGTATGCAGGAAAAAATATGTTTATCTCACAGTTTCAATTTGACCTACAAAAGTTTAAGTGAACAATACGACTGATGAACAAAACTGGAGGTGTGTAGCAGGCTTAATATGCTATAGAGTCATATGAGTTTTAAGAATACTTAATAATGTCAAGGAGATACTTTGCGGAATTATGAGTGTTGCTGAAAATGAAAGGAAAATTTGTGTCAAATTGCATTGCTTTTTAGAGCTCCGTAATGATGAAATTTCATACTAATCTACCCACTTCAATATCTAGCACCTTTATAAAAGAACAAGATGTCGCCCGCTTCGTCCGCGCGGAATTAAAAAAAAGATTAGTAAGTAGCCTATCTGTTCTTCCAGAATATGTTCTACATCTGTGCCAAATTTCAATAAGATTCGTTTAGCTGTTCTAGATATATCTTATAGCAACATGCTTCTAAACTTTCGCATTTACAATATTAGTAATATAGTAAATAGTAAAAGGAAGTTGTGTCAGTTTTTTCAATACGAGTGAGAGAGACAACAAGAAATTTAATAGAAGTGTTTCATATTTACTTTTTAAAATGACATATCGAGTTAGAGTGAGAGGGACGACAATATTTTTTCGTAGAGGTGTTTTATATTTATTTTTTTAAATTAATATACGATAAAACAATTAATATTATTAATACATTGTGATACACGTTATCAATGTTTTTCAATATACAAATAGAAAAACAAATATTTGACCTCTGGACAAAATACGCAGTATTTTCCTTAAAACGAGTTGTACGAATTAATTAAAGTCAAATACAAAATACGAAAACAATGTTGTTTTATCAAATAGAATAGGTATATTGAATTTAGTGAAAATATCATAAAAATGTTTAGTTCCAAAGTGGCATTTTTAAAGCATCTTACTAATATTACAAATGTGAATATTTAGTTGGATGGATATCTGAAGATATCTCCGGAACGGCTCAACGGATCTTGATGAAATTTGGCATAGATGTAGAACATAGTCTGGAAGAACACTTAAGGCTACTTAAGTTTTTTTTAATTCCGAGACGACGGAGTACCTGGTGACAGCTATTATGATATAAATGTCAAATCACAATGCAGTGACATTTTAAAAGCGATATACATAAGGCAACTAGGCCCTGACCATATGTGTTGATCATTAAATTACTTAGGTATTTATGTATATAAGCGGCTTCGTTTGACCCCTATATCGTAAGCGCTTGTGCAAGCGGTGAGCGGTCAACATGGCAAATGTCATTTGCGGTTGAATCCACTCGCTTTTGTATACTAAGAATAAAGCTACTAGATAAATATAATTATATCATTATCTTGTAATAATCCATTGGACATTTTTATACAAGATACTTTGAAAAATGTCACAATCTTCTTTGTTATTTTACTTTTCTGTATAAAAGTTATTACATATGGAGTTTTAAGATTTCATCTCTCAAACGGCTGCATAGATGTGACTGAAATTTGACATAGATGAGCATAGCCTTGGATAATATGTACTCTACTTATTAAGTTATTTTTAATTACGCCCAGACGGAGTTGCGGGCGACGGATAGTACTCAACATAAGTTACGTTACAACAATTGTAATGCATAACATTTTAGAATTAATTATATTGCAATCAAGGTAACTCTGTACTATATTATTCATAAAAGTAGACCTATTATTTAATTCGTATCTTGCAACTAATGTTAGGAATGTCATTAGCCTACAAAACGAGCTGAGCATTCAACATTCTGACATTGTGATACTAGATGTCGCCAGAGTCTACATCTATTTGGAATTAAAAATAAACTTAATAAGCCTATCTGTTCTTCTAGACTATGTTCTACATCTATGCCAGATTTCAGCGATATCCATGCAGCTGTTCTGGATATACCTTATCTATCCAAACTTTCGCATTTATAATATTAGTAAGATTTATATAGACATTTGTACATTATAGTTGTAAGTTGTAGTACATCATGCTATCTTTATTTTTTCAAAATGAAAGAAAGGGATAATTGTCGTGATACAAGTTTAAAGTCAACGTAACATGAGATAAAGATTTATAAGATGATTTTAATTTGTTTAATTAATTGAATGATTGCATCATTGTATTAACTAAAATATTGTTTTTTTTATTCGAATTTTGCTTTCTTAATATGTTCCATTTAATAAAGTTACTCTTAAAAATATAACAAATATTTTCCCATGACTTTTCACGATAAAACCGTTAATTGACTTGTACAATTTTGCTAAGTAATAAAGATTCAAGTTATCTCTGCGCACACTTTGTAAGTTGTAAGCACGTTGACTTAGATTCTATAATACATCGGTAAGGGTGCGGTCCGACTGTTAGATGATTATAATTTTTTATTTTTAAACAATTTGTTATACAAGTTAACTTGTTGCATATTAACAGTGGTAGACTCCATGTTAGCGTAGAAGAAAAGCAATAATTATTTTAAGGTCTTGAGTCTTCTCATGAGTGGGTATGCTGGATGACAAATTTTAGTCTTCCTCCATTTCTCTTACAATGTAGAGTACGTGTGTAATCAAAAATTTCATAATTGTTTTACGTCTACTCTAAAACTATAATATTAATCTGTCTCTCTTCTTACTAATATAAATGGGAAAGTTAAGATGGATGGATGTGTGTTTTCTCCGGAATGGCTCAACAAGTCTTGATGAGATTTGTCACGGATGTAGAATATTATCTGGAAAAATATCTAGACTTCTTATTGAGCTTATTTTTAATTATGCAAGGATGAAGTCACGGGTTACAGCTAGTATATACGGTCTGCATTAATATTGTCGCATCGGACTAATTTTAAACGACTAACGTATAGTAAAAAAAGAGAATTTATCGTCGCTGCAAATCGGACCGCACCATTTCTCGCGACACAAAAACCTGCGCTTAGTGGGTCAGACGAGCGGGCGGGCCGATATACGGATGTCGATACAGGTTGTCTTTGAATATACATACAACAGTTTACACTGTCGTAATACTTGTATAAAAACATATTGAATCTGTTTATAAAAACTGCGGTAATTTTTTTAAAGTCCTTTGATACTAAAAAAGCATTCTTGATGTAATTTTAATTCATCAGAGAAAATGGTAAAAATAAGAAGTTTATTATGAAAATATTTCTAACCAGTTATAACTAGTTGTGATCGTAAGATGTTTTTTTTTTGAAGCAACAGTCAAAAAGAGGTCTTATTTTTTTGGACTCGAACTGTACAAAAATCTTTACATTCTTATCAATTATGCCACATTTGATCCTCTAAAGATTACAATGAAATAATAAAAATACGAGTATTATTTAAATCGTTCACTTTTACTTAAATTAACAAAAATATATTTATATTACAATACATCTTAAACTTATGTATTATTCATTATATCATGTAAGCAAGATAAAATTGAATATAGTCAAAGTAACTCTGGCAATATATTGTACATTGCTATCAAACAGACGGGTCATTTGAGAAGCTGGTTCATTCACCTCTTGCCTGTTGGTCACGGCTCAGTATTTTACAATTACGAAATTTAGTATCATTACAAATATTTTCAGTGATGACGTATTTACTTACGTTATAATGTTCCATCAAATTAAAAAAAATCCTTTGAAATTAATATATTAATTTTGACAATGGAAAATATTAATACACTAGCAGTTGCCCGCGACTCCGTCCTCGTGGAATAAAAAAATACATAATAGCCTATGTGTTCTTCCAGACCGCCGTGAGATTTATTATATATATTATTTCTAACAAAATCCATCCATCTAAACATTCGCATTTACAATATTAGTATGAAGTAGTTATTGCCATATAAGTCTAAAGAATAACGCATTAATTACACATAAATACAAGTTACTAAAGACCCATACATATCATAATTATAATACTAAACGAATATTAAAAATTAAATCAATAGTAGTAATACAGGAAAATGTTTTTTTTTAATAAAATTGAATATTATTATTATATTTTCATGCAATATAAAAGATCTTAGATAATTACCGCTATCACAACTTTGATAGTAGTTTTAACTTTCACAATCGACGAAAGGTCAAGCCTGTGTATGTGAGAGTGAAGTACAGTCATGGAAATCCGCAGTGTTCCACTTTTATATAAGTTTCTTTGCTCCTTAGAACATGACAAAAAACGACAAAAAGAAAAATAACTATAATACAATTTTTCATTCAACATTTAAAAGCTTCGTTATAACAAATAGTTCCGCGTCGTCAACTCAATGTATACAAACATTCTAACGACTGTAGCATTTTAGATTGAACATCGCCAGATAGCCCGATTGTACGTGTGAGATGGACGCTGATCCAAACTTATAGACTTTCTAATTTTTCGATTTGCTTCGTCTCGACTATTCGTTGTTTTTTGTT